GCTCCGTGGTGGCGCACTCGGCCTTCGGCGCCATGAAGGCCAACACCATGTCCAACTACACGCTGCTGCCTTCCTCGCTGCTGGACCACCGCCTCGGGGCCTTCCTGCGCAAAGGTGGGGCCCGTGCTGCACCCTGGCCTCCTGTGGGGGCTTCTGCCCTGGGAACCCTCAGCAGGGCTGCCTCCAGAGGGCCAGAGCCGCCCGTGAGCCTGGGCCTCTCAAACCCCCCATCCCCGCTCACTGTGGAAGCCATCAGATGTTTGAAGCTGGACATTGAGTGTGATCCGCGCACTTGGGAGGCTGAGGCAGGCAGATCGCCATGAGTTTGAGGCCAGCCTGGGCTATAAAGTGAGTTCGAGGCCAGCCTGAACTTCATAGTGAGACCCTGAGTCAAAACACCAAGAAAAGAAAAAGGAGGGGGGAAAGAAAAAGAAAAGAAAAGAAGGGAAGAGAAAGTTACGTATTTGTAGATTCCAAGGAATTGGACATCTTGGGGGAACTTGGCCCTGGACAGGAGCCCTGGAGACCCCACATGGGTGGTGTGTGGTACGTGCCACATACAGTTCAAATACTGGGTTCTGGATTGCAAGGGCCCCTGGATTCCAGGCGGGGGTGGCCCTGGTGGTCACCTCAAGAGGAGCGGGGAGACCAAGGGAGCCCCACGCTGACCAGTGGCCGGGGTGCTACAGTGTCACGGGGGATAAAGTGGGGACAGGCCTGGGGCTGCTGTCCCTGCTAAGGCCCAGCACCTCCTCAGCCAGCCCTCCCCTCCCTCCCCTTGCGCACCCCCAGGGGTCAGCGGCGACTGGAAGAACCACTTCACGGTGGCACAGAGCGAGGCCTTCGACCGTGTCTACCGAGAGCAGATGCGGGGGATGCCCGCCTTCCCTTGGGACAAGGACCTGGAGGACAATGGCCTGGACCCCGAGCCTGGACCCGAGACGTCCCCCGGCTCCAGCAAGGACTCCGAATCCCCCCACCAGTGACCCTGACAATAAAAGCTTAGCCGCACCCGGTCCTTGATGCTTTCGGGCGGGCAGACTCGGGAGGTGGCAGGGGGCTCCTGAGGGGAGGCGCTGCACCTAGGGACCTCGGGCCCATCGGCCCCTGAAAGGGACAGAGTACAGTGGCGGTGCAGACGGCCGGTGCAGGGCACCACTCCGGGAGGGAGGACGGGGGCCCGGAACTGCGTCGGCGGAGGAGAGCCAGGGTTGGGTTTAGCCGGCCTTGGACCCGCATGGGTGGATGAAGCGGTTTATTCTCTGTGGAAGCGGAGGCCTCCTCCCCAGCGAATGCTCCTCCCTCTCACTCCCGCTGGCCCGGGTCTCCCCAGCACTCCATCCGAGACTCCGGCGGCTCATTTTCAGATCTGCACCCTCCAGGACCCCCCAGCTCCCCGCTCAGCCCCGGGGCCCGGCGGAGCCTGATCTTCGTTTGTCCACAGGCTTCTCCGAGTCACCCCACAGTCCACGCGGGGGCCCCGCTCCAGCCAGGTCTCCTCCACACAGGCCTGGCCTGGCTGAGCCTGAAACTGGGGGCTTTCGGCTTCCCGCTGCGACAGAGCCTAGAGCGGGCCCGGGCCGGCCCGGTTCTGGGGCAAGCGGACAAAAGCCCTCCCTCTGCCCAGGGCCAGGCCGGGCTCTGAGTGGGCACCAACAGCAGCCACACTGGCCGGGCTCCTGTCAGGGGCGCCCGGCTCGTCCACAGCGAGAGGCCCAGTCCGGCCGCTGGACGCCTCTGAGCTCCACCGGCTTGGACAGAGCGTTGTCACCAAACCTCCTGCGGGTCGGGGACAGGTAGCGGAGCCGGCGGGCAGGGATCGGGGGCAGGGGGCTGCCCCAAGGCTGGCACCGGGCCAGGGGCCGGGCCTCTCCAGTGCCCCGCTGTCTCATCAGGGCCTTGGCGGGGGTTTCCTTGGAGCCCCAGGGCTTGAGCTGTGGAGGGAAAGGGGGAGGTGGGAGGTGAGGGGAAGGGAGGAGAGGGAGGGAGATAGCAGGGGCAGGAGGAAGGAGAGGAGGGAGGCGCGGGAGGGGCGCCCCGCACCCCCAGACCCACACGGGGCTGTGCTGCCTGTGCTTTTGCAGGTGGGGAGAAACCGGAAGTGGTGAGCAAACATTTGCCAAGGGCGGTGGTGCAGGGCAGCCTGACCGGTGGAGGCGAGGACCTTGCCCTGACCCGCACCGCGCCTCTCCAAGCTTCAAGCCAAGACATCACCTGCCCAGGTCCCCCAGGGGCTGGGGCGGGCTCTGTGGGACTGAGGGGTCTTCTCCAAGGGCTCCTGGCCCACTTCCCCCAACACCGCATGAGACTCAAATCCAGAAAGGTGGCGCACGCCTACGGTCCTGGCACTCTGGAGACTGAGGCGGGAGGATCACCATACATTCAAAGTCAGCCTGGGCTACATAGTGAGATCCTGACTCAGAAAACCAAAAGCGCGGAGCACAAGCGAGTATGGCCTCATGGGTTTGGGATGAGGACACCATGGAATAAATAAAAACAAACAAATTCCATTTCTGAAATGTGTTGATGGCATTGTTGTGGTTTCATTTATCCTCACAGACCTCCCGGCCACACTGGGAACCAGGGCAACTGCTCAGCCCATTTCCTAGAGGGGAACCGTGAGGTATGGAGAAGGCAGGCATGAAGCCAGGATTTACACTCAGGGCTCGGGGGTCTCTACTGTGTGCCCCAGAGCGTGTGAGGTCATCACACAGCGGGGCGACAGGACATGGGGGAGCAGCTGTGAGTGCAGCTGAACCGTTTGGCCTCCCTGTAATCCCCCGTCACACACACCCGGCACACAGTAAGCCTGGGAAAACGCTTCCTCCACCAGGGGTGGTGGCACATGCCCATAATCCCAGCATTCTAGGAGGCTGAGTCAGGACGATTGCCAAATTCAAGCCCAGCATAGGCAGTTTAGGGACTTAGTGAGATCTTGTCTTGTGCTACCACCTACAGCGTTTCAAAATATTCAAAATAAGTAAATAAATAACCAAGAGCTGGGGCTGTAGCAAAGGCCTGGGTTCAGTCCCCAGTACTATAAGAAGAAAGAAGTGAGGGAGGAAGTGAGGGAGGTAGGGGAGAGGAAGGGCCTCCTGCCTTTGTTGGTGGCAGCAGGGACCTGGGAGGGCACTCAGTGACCGAGGCAAGAGCAAGCCCTCTCTGGGTCCCCACCACCTCTACCCAGGCAGTGACTGTGGGTCTCACCTCACTGTCGCCGTCGCTGGAGCCCGAGAGCTGAGACAGGCGGCTCAGGTCCCACAGGGAGCGGCTGGGTCGGGCCAGGGGTGCACTGGCTGTGCGGGCTCCCTGCACACTGCGGAGGACATCACTGAGCGCGGGCATGGGGGGCGTGGGGCCCTCCCTCGGGTCCCCCTCCAGCAGGCGGCAGGCAGC